TGACTGACCACTCCTCATGGCCTCAGTCGTCAGAGCGTGAAGTCAACACATACCTCGTGAAGAGCCATCTATCGTCTGACCTGCTCAAAAATGTAAGAGACGATAGGATTTCAGGCAAGGTCAAAAGTAAGTTTTTGGTGTGTTCCTAAAGTGGGTCTTATGTAGGGCAATAACTTTGCAGATGACGTCACTAATTCAGGACTTTAAATTTTTTCTTTGATAGAATTCACAGATTTCTTTAATCTTCCTTAGTCCTTCAGGAACATTCCCCCATTGTAACATATACATATGTTCATGCCTTTATGTCCATATGTATGTTCGAATTTGTTGTTCTTTTGGATATGATATAAAGTTATTGAATCTTTCAAAATTATTGATGCCAAACACTCAATTTCTTTGAATTCTTCTTTGGTTCTGTGTGTTGTATAGGTCAATAATACACAAGTAATAAATTGTGAATAACTTAAGATTTGCAGTTTCAAGTCCATTACAAAAACCCCATTGTATTAGGTTAAAATCTTCAGAATACATTAAATGTTGGAGGTGGTTGTAGCCATCCTTTTCTTATTTTGGAAGGTAATGGAGAAACTTCTATCATTCTTAAAAAATATATTTTATTTTTTAAAAATTTTATGTTTATGAATGTATTGCCTGCCTGTATATAAGTGCACCTGTGTCATGTAGTGCCCATGGAGGTCAGGAAAGGGCATTGGATTCTGTGGAACTGGAGTGACAGATGGTTGTCAGCCACCATGTGGGTGCTGGGGATCAAACCTGGATTTTCTGCAAGAGCAGTCAGTGCCCTTAACCATTGAACCATCTCTCCAGCCCCCCATCTATCCTTTTATCATGAAATTTACTTTTAGTTTAGAATAAATTTTCTTTATCACTACAGATAAATTTGAAAACTTTTTATGAGTTTTTACTGGGAAAAGATATTTAAAATCATAGTGTTCTTTAAAAATTTCTGGATTCATGATATTTTCTTATATGTTGGTCATAACTGAAGAACTTGGAACATACATTTTTGATTACTCTTGCTTTCCTTTGCAGATCATTACATTCTCAAGGTGCTTTCAACTCTGTACTCTGCCTGCACTCTGTAGTATTTACTAGTGTGATGGTTTGAATGAAAATGTCCCCCATAGGCTTCAAGTATTTGGACATGTTGCCCCCAGATGATGGCACTGTTTTGGGAGGCTTTAGAAGGTGCGGCTATGCTGGAGGAAGCACGTCACTGAGGGGTGGGCTTAGAGAATTCTTAAGCCTTGCTAGATCTCCAGTTGCTCTCTTGCTTCCTGTGCCTGCCTGATGATATGAGAGATTCACTTCTGCTGCTCCTGTTCCAGCCACCTCCAGCCATCATGCCTCCCTGTCATGACTGACTGTAATTTCCCTATAACCACAAGCTCAAATAAACTTTTCCTTCTATAAATTGCTTTGGTCAGTGTTTCTATCACAGCAACAGAAAAGTGACTATTACAATTAATTTCTCAGATGTGGCTAGATTCCTGCCTGGCCTCTCTTGGAAGATCACTTCTTGGTGGGACCGTAGGCTTCCTCCTGTGCTGCATTCATGGTCCCTTAATGTCTGCTTGTACCTTTTCTAGGGAGGTTATGGTTGGTCAGAGGGCTATTCATTGCTGATCAGTGGTGCCTTTCATTAAAGAGCTCCCTATTCATCTTTTGCTGAGTGGTTTTAGCTCCTATCATTAACAATAGTTCTGATCTTTTGTTATAGATTTTGAATTGATGATTTAAAGTATATCTATCAGCATTCTTCTACTTAGAAGCTGAAGTTTTCTATAAAAATAAATTTGGATTACTCTGAGGTACAATGTGTATATGAAAAACAAATGTTTGTTTCTTTCCCTTCTTTTACTTTGTTAAAACAATGAGTAGGAGCACAGAAACTTAGAGGAAAAGAGGCAAGGAGTAGTTAATGTATTTCCTCTAGTGATGCAATTTTTGTGATACCTCCCAGTTCTGTCAACAAATGGTAATGATAAAGGGCATTGTTTTGCTTTAAGATACAGAAAAACCTTTTGTAAGAGTCCTTAATGAAGTTGGAAAGAGGAATCTATTTTCATGACTAACGGCTGATCTTCAGTCTTGACTGATTTCTGGCTGAGATTTCATTTGTTCTCCTGGTGAGAACATTTAGAGTACCTGTTCTCTAGAAGCAAGGGACACCTTCTTCTGTCCCAGGTTTTTTCTGTTGTTTGCTTTGTGACCCTTTTATATTTCTCTGGCATTTGAGTGCGATTATGGAGCTTCTTGCTGGGGAGACTAAGTCTACTGTTTCTGGTGCCATCATCCTGGAGTACCTATATTCCTTTGGCAATTATACAAAGCTAACTGTTAGACTGTATACACTACAAAAATTTAAAATCCTTCAAGAAAAAGCTGACAAACTATTATAGATGGTTAGATTCCAGAGAAACAATAGCGATCTCAATTCTGTCTGTCTAAATAATAACAATAACATTGTTATGGAATATGATGATCATGAAGGTGATGATGATGACAACAATGATGGTGTGTGTGTGTGTGTGTGTGTGTATGTGTGTGTTTGCATATGGACACAGAATTAGGAAGTGAATGCTAATGATATAGTAATTTGGGAAACCCTTCTAGCCTACATAAATCTGGACCGAGTAAAGAAGTAGAAAAAAAAACCTTTCAAATCTAGACCTCATAGATATAAGTAGTAGTATTTATTAGAGCTGTCTCTGGTCATGAACGTATTGTGAATTATGTGTATACAGTCATTGTCTGGGATTTGATTCAGAGCTTGTTGAACCATTTTGAGGAATATTTGACCCATGAGAAGAATGTTTAAAGTGTAAAATCAATGAATTCTGGTTATAAGTTTCTTTTGCTTTATTCACCAGGGAAATGGAGAATTGAGGGAAAAGAAAATCTACATATTAGAAATAAAAAGGAATGCAGATTGTAACTATAGAATACATGCTATAAAACTTAACAGGTGGAGGTTATTGCTTCATCCTCAGTCAACAAGTGTTGACTGCATACCCCATGTGCCAGGCTGAGGAAAGGGTAATAGACAAAACGTAATGTGCCTTATTTAGTTACTTATTTATTTTGATACTTTGAGGCTGACCTTGAACTTGTTCTGTAACCAAGCCTGACTTTGAACTTCTGATCCTCCTGCCTCTACCTTCCAAGTACTGAGACTGCAGGCAGGCACCATCATACCCAGCTTGAAGGTTTTAATATGCTAGGATAAGAAAGGCAGCAGACATATAGGTAACCACAACAAAGTATAATGTATATTCCAGCAAGGTTACATTCTGGGGTTACAGGAAGAGCACAGGTAGAATACCTAAGCCAGTCCTGGGGGACTTCTGGAAGATCATCTTATGAAAGATGTCTGAGGTGAGATCTGTGGATGGGAAAGCAATAAGGAAGTCAAAGAAAAGAACCCTCATATTTATAGACCCTACACAACCAGAGCATGACCTTCAACTTGGAAAATACTAGGGTGTCTGAAGTGTAGGCCTGGAGTGATCAGAAGCCATGTGACATGAAACTCGAAAAACTGAATCACTTATGGCAGGCCTTGGAAATAGTTTCTTCTTCCCTGGGCAGTGAGGGCTCAAAGAAGTAATGGGACTTAGATGTTTCAGAAAACTACCTTTGAGCCACTGGAAGTGATAAATACACATTTGTGTAATGAATAATAACACTATTTTCTCGGCTCTGCTTTCAGACATATATCAGGAAAGGCTAGCCCAGTACCCTGATGCATGATTCATGTACAGGGTACTTGGCCCTGTAAGCAATTTCTTGTCAGCTAACTTTATTCCTAGAATTTAGATTGATTGCATGACCTCAGTCATTTCTGTCATGGTGGGTTCATCAATAGGAGTGTTTATAACCCAGTTAGTTAAAACAATAAGCAATAAGACTAAAATTATTATCCTTTGGTATTCCTAAGATATAGAAACTGCCAAATATATGGGAATAAATCTTTGGTAATGTCAATTTGTCCACTTTGTGTGTGTGTGTGTGTGTGTGTGTGTGTGCAGGCTAGAAATCTTTCTTTTTTTAAAAAAAGTATTTTATTATTTTTATTTTCTGTGTATGAGTGTATTGCCTGCATGTATTTGAGTGCACCTGTGTCGTGCAATGCTGTGGAGGTCAGAAGAGGGTTTCGGATTCCCCTGGAACTGGAGTTAAGGATGGTTCGTAGGCACCATGTGGGTGCTGGGAATTGAACTCGGACCCTCTGCAAGAGCAATCAGTGCTCTTAACCACTGAGTCATCTCTCCAGCCTCTAGAAATCTTATCTTAATTGGTTTCTACCATATTTTTTGAGACAAGGTCTCTTGTTGAACCTGGAGCTCACTGATTTAATTCAGCTGGACTGACTGGCCAGGAATCCTCCTGTCTCTGCCCCCTCAACACTGAGATTACAATTGTGTCCTTCTGCACCTGACATTTTTATGGGTGCTGAGGATAGAACCCAAGTCTTCATGCTATGCTACAAACCCTTTACCAACTAAACTATCTGTCCAAACTCTGGGCTCCTTTCTTGGGTCACAGAATAGATGGCAAAAACGTGATGGCTGAGAAAGAGAGGGTGAGGGAGGGAAGGACGGAGGGAGGGAGAGAGAGAGACAGACAGAGAGAGAGAGAGAGAGAACAAGAGAAACTAGGTGGTAGTGCCTGAAACACGTTTAGATAAAGCTGAGATAAGAAACCTTTGTGAATTAAAGAAACTCCTGAAGATACAATTCTTTGATTGGCAGGAAGAAATGGGGAAACAAAAGCAAAGAAATGAGCTTCAAGGTTTTAATTTTTCTTGCGTTTAGTTTCAGTGTAGAGTTTGAATGGAGTAGGAGAAGTGCACAGTGGCTCTGAATCATCTCTGAATTCAGAATGAGTCTGAGCTGATGAACCAATGAAGTTGCTTCCAGCCACAAGTGGCTTCTTAACTTCAGGAAACCCTCCCTTCCTGAAATACTAGTGCTTTTACCAGCAGCTACTTGAAGAAGCTGTGGTGGAGAAAGAAGCTCAGGGGCAGGGCATGAGTCAGCCCCCAAGTGGAGGCAAGCTCCCTGAACTGGCCAGCGACAAGAGACTGAGAGGTCACCATAAGGGGGATGCCCTAAACCAGCAGGCAGTTGGAAGGAGACTTACCACAAGCATTGCCTACCTCAAGGTTTGTAGCCTCTTAAAGATTGGATCCAGACTTTATTTGGATCCATAAAATCATGTATGTGTAAATGACATGAGAGTAGAAGCAAAACTGTCTAGGGGAGCTAAAGAGTTTAGTTGGAGGGGGAGGAGAGAAAGGAAGGGAGGGAGGTGGGGGACATAGCCCAAATACATAATACACTTGTTTGAAAAATGCCTTATGAAACCTAGTACTCTGTGAATATATGACAAAAATTGGGTGTGGTTGAGTTGACAATCGGTTCAGAATTACTGATAAACCTCCAGGGCAGGAAGATACAGGAGGACAGGAGAGCTAGGGGAAGACCTGCCATTGGTTGAACAGTTGATGCTCTGTAAACTTGCCCATTAAATAATGGGCATAGCTTTCAGTTAAAAGTGCCATTTAATCACGTTACTCAGTTTGTTCCTGGGAGAACTGTTCTTATCAAATAGTTCCAAAAGTAGCAAAATTGACATGATTTCATCAGTGTCTTGGCTATCAGGTAGCTTAAGAAAACCTACCTTGCTTTTCTTAAGAAATGCTGAGTAGCTGGGCATGGTGGCACAAGCCTTTAATTCCAGCCTTCAATCCCAATACTCTGGAGGCAGAGGCAGGTGGATTTTTGTGAGGTCAGGGTCAGCCTGGTCTACATAATGAGTTCCAAGGCAGCTAGGACTACAGAGAGAACCTGTTGGAGGAGGAAGGGGAAAAGAGGAAGAGGAGGAGGAGGAAGAGGAGGAGGAGGGCCAAGTAGCAGTTAATAAATATAAAGATTTATCATAGAATGCAGAAGTTTGCAGGTTTTTCCTGTGGAGGAGTATAGCACAGACAACATGTGAATAGCTAAGGGCTCTGTTCCAGCCGAAGTCTACGGGAACCAGACAGTGGGCTGGATTCAGCTCAAAGGCCACATCCTGACTGCGCACAGCATCCCTGCTGATTGCAAACTGAAAGAATTCTGGTTTGAACAGAAGTGAGATATACTGGACCCTTGGGACATTTTAATTCCTGGGGAGCAGGTCTTTGAGTTGCCGAGGTTCTAAGGGAATTGTGGCATACAGAGACTCATTTTCATCACTGGTGAAGTCTCCCTTGAGGTGATTCACTAGGACTGGATTAAGCAGGTGGTAAACTGCCCCCCCCCCCCCCCCGTAAACCCCCCCCCCCCCCCCCGCTGCCCCACAGCCTTCTAACAGCTAAGCCGGGGCTAGTCAGCAGAAGCATTCTGACATCCTCTGAGTCTAAAACCTAGAGCGGAAACAAAGGACCCCACAGCGGGGTCATGTGTTCTTAGAGCCAGCCTGACTTTCTGCCTGGCTGTGCTCTACTTTGCAGCTGTTTGAGTGAGTGAAGAAAGGTGTTCCAGAGTGAAGTTGCGGGGGGTGGGGGGTGGGTGGGGGGTGCCATTGGGGTAAATGAGAAAGACAAAAATCTGTGTTCAGAAGTTGTAGAGACATTTGGGAATGAGAACTTGTAGATAACTGAAGCAATGAACTCGAGGAGATGGAGGTGTGTCTGTCTGTCTGGGAAGAAAGCAAGATGCTCACCCGGGTCCACAGGGTCATTCAGTGGAAGCTCAGGGACAGACCCTGCTCTGTGCATTGCTGCGGCGTTTAAACAGCAGAGAGGTCCAGGAACATGTTGATTAATGGCTTCCTTGAGGACAAAGCTCTTTTCTACAGACAGCTCTATTAGAAAAAAAACCTCAAGCTAAAACCCCTTCATAAATCATGCAAAAAATGGCTGCCTGCATCACAAAAATAGCTCGACTGCAATCTCAATTTGTCTTTGCTTGGATGTTGATAAATAGGATGCGTCCCCAGCAAAGTGGTAACAGCCAAACTTTATCTTCAGTAGAAAGTTTGTTGGCACTTTCACATGTATCTGACCTCCAGGTGCCTGGAGTGGAGAGTGTGAGTGAACCTGAGTTCTCATCTCTGAGCCTGTGGGGATGCATTGGGAAAGAAAGGGTTATTATTAAGTATCTTTTCCCAAGCTCCTCCCATAAGTCTCCTCCTTTACTCCCAGGGAGAGGAAATTCCTTTAGTGTCTTGTAAGAGGCACTGCAAGTAGAGAATGCTCTATCACACCTAATTTCCTTTAGGTCTGTAGCAGTACACTGTCACATTTTATCGGATTTGTGTCCCAGCATGTCTACTACAGTGCAGAATCCTGACCCCTTTCTTTCTCTTAACACACACACACACACACACACACACACACACACACACACACACACACACACAAGTGCATTTAGTAAGCATTTAAATTGTAATGCCTTAATATTTTCCCATCTGATCTTTTGTATTATTTATTTCAACGGTTGTCATGAGAGTATGACACAGTGTGCTGCTGGGCTCTGTAGTTGTTATGTCCTAGGAGGCTTAATGTGCGCTTATTGAACAGGGTGATTGGGGATCAACTAATAATAAATACATATTAAAAATAAATATTTGCTATGGACTAACAGCAAATTGTGCTGGATTTTGCAGTTGGACACAGAGGGCTGCATTTATGGTCTTGCTACTCAGTAGCAGTATTTGTTTTGTTGTAAAGTTTGCATAACATGAAAGTAATCAATTTTAAGTGTCTACTTTAGCAGCATTTGACACATTCACAAGCTTCTGCAATAACCAACCATTTTCCAGTTCAAAATATTTTTATTGCCCTCCCCCAAATAAAAATTTATACCTTTAGCAGTGGCTTAAGTCTAACAGCTTTTGGAAATGCCAGTCTGCTCTGTATCTTTATGGATTTACCTATTCTGGAAATTTTATGGAAATGGGACATACTATAGGAAATATTTTGTGTCTACTCTGATTTACTTAGCATCTTCTGTGATCATTAATCTTGCAGCATGAATCAGTACTGAATTCCTATGATGCAGAATAATAGGAATTCTGTGGTTATAGAATTTGCTTATCCCATCCATCTGGATTATGTTTGGGTTGTTTTCACCACCTTGTTCTTGTGAATAATGCTGCTTACTCTCAGTGGTCAGTATTTGAGCATCTATTTTCAATACCTTGGGCTACAAGGCGTGGAATTGTTGGGTTCTGCAATAATCCTATCTGAAGAATTGGCAAACTACATTCCACATCAATGACAACATTGTAGTACACAAAAGTTCCAGTTTAATCACATGATTACTTTCCTTTTTAAATTAAATGCATTTTACTGGCTATGAAGTAATTTCTCATTGTGATTTTTATCTGCATTTTTCCAGTGATGTTGAATATATTCTTTTTTTTTTTTTTTTTTTGACAAAAGATTTCCCTGTAGCTGCAGCTGGCCTGGATTCACTAATGGAGACCAGGTTGGCCTCAAACTCACAGAGATCCTCCTGCCTCTGCTTCCTGAGTGCTGGGACTAAAGGCATGCACCACCACGCCCAGATTTGAATATCTTTTAATGTGATTCTTGACTATTTTTCTGTCTTTTAATGTGCTTCTTGATTATTTTTCTGTCTTCTTTGGAGAAATGTCTGTTAAAGTACTTTGATCATTTTTAAACTGGTTTGTTGTTTTTTTTTGTTCTTCAGTTGTAAGAGTTCTTATATATTTTATATATTGGTAGTCAGCTATTTGATTCACAAGTGTTTTTTTTTTCATTATACTGACTGTGTTTTCATCTTCTTGAAAGTATCTTTTGATACTCAGAAATTTTTAATTTTGATTAATTCCAATTTATTTTTTCTTTTGTTGCTCATACTTTTGGTGTCATATCTAATAATCTGTAGTTAAATCCAAAAACATGAAAATTTAACCCTAGTTTCCTTTTCATAATCTTATGATTCTAGGTTTTACATTAAGGTCAACTCTTGACATAATTCTTACATGTGGTGCAATGTAGGCATTACTTTCAGGTGGTCATCCATCCCATCGTCTCAGTAGCGTTCTTTGAAGGTTATATTTTCCCACACTGAATTGTCTTGAAACCTTGTTGAAAATCAATTGACCATGAATGTGTTGCTTTACTTTATTTTTTTTTATGTGTCTGAGTGTCTTGCCTGCATATATGTAAATGTACTATATGCATACATAGGTCAGGAGAGGGCATCAGATCTCCTGGAACTGGGGTTACAGAACATGGTTAGCCACCACTGGGTGCTGGGAACCAAACCCAGGCCCTCTGCAAGAATATCCAGTGGTCTTAAGTGCTGAGATAGCTCTCCAAACCCTTGCTTTACTTTTTGATTCTCACTTTTATTCCATTAGTTGTTATGTCTGTCCTTATGTCAACATCAAACTTTTGATTACTTGATCTGTACTAAGTTTTGAAACTGGGAAATATGAGTTTTCTAGCTTTTTCTTTCCATGCAAGTGTTGGCTGTTCAGGGCCCCTCAAAATGCTTTACGAATTTGAGGAATAGTTTTTCCATGTCCCAAAATGGGCCATTTAAATTTTATTAAGGACTGCTTAACCTACAGATTTCTTTGAGAAATATTGTCATCTTAATTTTAAACTTTCTATTTCACGTACATGGATAACTTTTAGATAGATTTCCTAAAGTATGCCATTTTCATATTTAGGCCTCCATTTAAACATTTCATCAATATTTTGTTGTTTTCAATGTAAAGTTTTTTTTAACCTCCTTGGTTAAATTTATTAATATATGTCTTTGGATTATAAATAGAATTGTTTTCTTAACTTCCTTTCACACTATATATTGATAGAATAGAGAGACACACCAGATTTTCACGTGTTGATTTTGTATCTTGTAACTTTTGTTTATAATCTTAATAGTTTTTCATGGATGTTTTAGCATCTTAATATACAAAATTACATCATCATTTCACAGAGAGCAGGGTTCCTTCTTCCCTTGCAATGTAGGTGTCATTCTTGTATAATTTCTCTGGCTAAAAACTTCAGAACAGTCTAAGTATCAGGGTGAAAACCAGCCTCTTTGTCTTGTCTTGATTTCTCAGGGACATCCCCACTGAGTGTGACGTTAGCTGTGGGTGCTGCTTGTAATCCTTTCACTAGCAGCAGCTGAAATTCTCAGGCACCAGCTTCCTTATTGTTCTTTTGTTTCTGCTGACAGATTTGTTCCTTGACCTTTTCCAGTATCTCTGGATGAGCATCTTCTTCAGAAGCCCAGCTTTGCCCAGCAGCCTCCATAGTGGGCAGTGCATCTCTTCCTGAACCCTTTAACAGGTTCTTCCCAAGCTCCTCTCTCAGTTGTCTTCTCATCCATATCTGTTTTTATTAATTTGTCTTTCTTATAAACTTCTCTACTTTATAAAACTTTTCTTTTTACAAAAATATACTCTGTTGAGAGTTTGTTTGGAGGTTCTAGCAGGGGACTGAAGACTGGTCCTCCTCTATCGGAAGGTCATCCTCTTTGACAGAGAGTACAGCTTCGGGAGGGATGCATGTGGAGCGTTGAGGGAGGAAGGGGACACCCACCTATCCAGCCAGATCAGCCGAATCAACCCTGGCAATCAATAGGGTGACAGATGTCACAGCCAGATCGCCCTCACATCCACAAAAATATACTCTATTGAATCTAGGTTTATTTTCCTGACTGGATGCAGCCTAGATCACATGGGGTTAAGGACACCTATTATTGTATCTCTGCAATGGTAGGTTATCTGGCAGTCAGTAATTCATCCCATAGACAGAGAAATGATCCAGGTCTAGGCCACCTGTTCTGTCTTGCTTATATTATGGTAAAGGTGTCCTAGTAGTTTGATATGTGTGCTGCTCCTTTTCAATCTTCTCTTCATAGCACATCCAGATAACCTGTACCAGTTTAGATGCATGTAGACAGAGATAAGAGAGACTCATAAAATACAAACATTTACTATATCTCACAGCATGCTTTGACTCCACAGTTGATGGACCTAATAGTGTAATAATTCTATCTGGGACTTGAGTTTGTTCCCATCTTCAGACATCTGTCCTCAGATTGATATTTTTTGCAATAGCTGCCCATAGAAATGTAGTGATGGGGCAACATTCTTTCTTGCTCTGATATTTAGTGAGGAAGGGGAGAAGAGAGAGAAGTGGTTCTTCTGGTCTGAAATATAAATAATCTCTTGCACCCTGATTGGTTCAGCTCAGGCTGCAGTTGCCTTTTCCAAGCCCTCAGATCAACCAAGGTTGCCAGTAGATTAGCTTTGATTCATCACAATAGCCTGTTGTGTAGAGAAAGGAATAGATACTCAAAGTCCAATTTCTGAAGAAGTCTGGAAATGAAAATGGTGACATTTAACTACCCTTCTACTCATTTAGAGCAATCATTCTGGTGACTTCAGAGTCACATTAGGAAGTCACAGGACAAACACATCCTTAATCCACCTCTGTGAAGTCTAACCACCTGTTTTTTGTTTCCCCTCCCACTGCCTCAGCTACAGCAACTGTGAAAAGTCCCTGGCTTGGTGCACCTCCTGTGTGCCTGAGCTGCTCATCCTTCCTTGCACGTGGCCTCAGTCCTCATGTGGCTGATGCTCCTGGTTCTGCTGGTTCAGCTCACAGGCTACATCCTGGGGAAGGATTTTGCAGTCACCCTCTTTGCCACAGGCCTGCTGGGCTCCAGCCCTAGATACTCTCTCTTCTGCATACTTCGTGAACTTCTCTTTCTTTATAATAGCGAATACATTTTGTAAAATAAAAGTATTTTTTTGTATATTTGTCCAATATCTGTCTTTCTACCAAGACCAGGGATCCCTTAGAAAGTATCACATCCCCAGACTATAGTCACACACATGTCCTTGTCATACTGTGGTCCCATCTATGTACTGTAGTCATGCCAATTCCTGAACATGCCTATGTGGGCACAGCTTTAGCTCCTCCCATTTTTTTTCTAGCTAACTATTGCCACAATCTATTAGAATGAATTCTTAAACCCAAATAGAATCATTGGTATTGTTAAAAGAAAAGGTGAAAGATAATTTTGACTTCTGAGCTTAATATGTGATTCAATTTAAAAACTTAACAGTAGCTACCAACTACTCAATGTCAGCATTTATTGGAGAGGGGATATTTTCAGAGAAGATGAAGTTCAAACTAAGAATGAGATTTGGATCTTACATTATTTAAAAATTATATTTTGATTTATTTCATTTTTATTTTATGTATATGAGTTTTATGCCTGCATATATGTGAGTGCACATGTGTTATATAGTACCCACAGAGGACATAAGAGAGTGTTGGATTCCCTGGAACTGGAGTTACGGATGGTTGCTAGCTGCTATATGGGTGCTGGAATTTGAACCGGGTCCTCTGCAAGAGCAGTCAGTGTTTTTAACCACTGAGCCATCTCTCCATCCCCTGACCTTACTTATAATGTACACATTGTATCATGACCCACCTTATGGGGCCAAGTACAATACAATTCCTCTATTTACAGAGGTATGCATTTTATATTGTTATGTTAAAATATTACAAAGTTTTAGGAACTAGAATTTTATTTTAAATTTATTGATTATTCATATTATCATTATTGTCTGTGTGCATTGTGTGTGTGTGTGTGTGCGTGTGCGAACACATGTGTGTGCCACTATGCATGTGCGGAGGTTTGAGGAAAACTTTGTAGAGTTGGTGCTTTCCTTCCACCTTTATGTGGGTGCTGGGAATCTAACTAGAGTCCTCAGGCTCTCACAGCAAGCATCTTTACCTACCGAGCCATCTTGCCAGCTCTAGAATTGTTATTTTCATAAAGAAGGAAGAGAACGATGATGAATGTTAGAAACCAATCCCATTTTTATGATGTAATTACATAAGGTATAAGCTCTGAGGGGACCTGGCTGGAATGTTTATTGTCTTTATAACTTCTTAATACTCCATAATTATTTCCAAATAACAAATAATAAGGAAAAATCTCAAAATATAGTGCTCTATTTGTATGTGTCCTGAGCTACCATTTCTTTGGATCTGTTGTTTGTACATCACCAAAAAGTAAGTGTTCAGGTGTAGCCAGAAGAAGACGAAAGGAGGGCCACATCTGATTGGCTGTTTGCCCCACAGGTTCCTCCCATCAACCTCAGTCTTCCACTGCTTCAATCTCATCTTTTCAGTGTAGACTTCCTGGACCCATCTGCCTGTGTGAAAAGGAATTAGCACTTCCCTGTTTTACTTTACTTCTCTCAAGTACATACCACCTCTAACTTACTAATATATTTTACGTCCTTATTCTAGAATTTGCCTGTTCCCTCTAAAATGTAAGTTCCCCGATGGCAAGGGTTTTTATTTAAAGAAATGTTTTTTGAGGCACATTCTTCCTGTAGCCACAGCTGGGCTGGAACTCGCTATATAGACCAGACTAGACTTGATCTCATAGAGATCTGCCTGTCTCTGCCTCCCAAGTGCTGGGATTAAAGGCACGAACGACTGCACTGGGTCCTAAAAATGTGTTTTTGTATAATCTTGTTTAGAATAGAGTCTGGCACAGAGACCACACTCAGTAAACATTGTGTTAAATGAATGAATCTTTGAAGAAAATGATTTCTTGAAAATAAGCTGATTCTCCGACAGAGCAATAACTCAACTCTATCCTTGTACGAGAGCAGACCTGCCTTTGAAGCTAAAATCTTTTTCCTGTGCTCATACTTAGAAAAGAAGATGTAGCTGATAACATCTGAGCGGAAGGAAACATTGCTTCTTACTGTGCTGTGAATATAACATTATATATATTTTTTTATACAGACCAGCCTCCCAGTTTCTAGAGATGGATTATCTGACTTTCCTTTTGGCTATTCTGCATGTGCACAAAGGTAAAGATAATTCTTATGACTTCATTTAAGACTGTTGCTCTGTTTTATGTTAAGAGTATGGCTTATAGAATTTCTGGGTTTTTTTTTTTTTTCCTTTTTTTGAGACAGGGTCTCCCTGCAGTCCCACCTGGCCTGGAGCTCACTATGTAGACTAGGCTGACCTTGAACTCATGGAACTCTGCCTGCCTCTGCCTTCCGAATGCTGGGATTAAAGGCGTGTGCCACCACACCTAGTGAGAATTTCTTAGGTACTGCCTCATTTGTTAAAAAAACCTAAATGTTGCTAATGCCAGTTTTGTAGTAGAAAATGCCAGCTTTCACCACAATCTGTTCTTTTAAATCTTAGAAAATTTATCTATTTGGTTTGGCAACATTAGGGCTAACTCAATTTATGTGATGTTCATTTCAGCACTATGTGAAGAGACATTCTGGGACACAACTGTTCAGCTTTCTGAGAATATGACTCTGGAATGTATGTATCCATCAGTGGGTTTTGTAAGTCAGATGGACTGGACCAAGATCAATGGTACACAGAAAGAGAGCATAGCCGTTTACAACCCTTACTTTGGTGTGGCAGTAATGGATGCCTATAACAGTAGAGTTTACTTTCCAAACACAACAAAGAAGCCTGGCGATTTGAGTCTTTCCTTTCACAATGCCTCTGAAGTGGACGTTGGCTTCTACTCCTGCGTGTGTCACAGTTTCCCAAATGGAGTTTGGCGCAAGAATGTAAAGGTGGTTCAGTCAGGTAAGGGAAAACTTTATTTTCTGTTTGTTCTTCTACAATATTTAATTCTAAGGAACCTACTTAAACACTCAACATGCTTTATCCTTTTCTTGTGGCTTTTTCCAAGTCCATTTCTAAACTCTTTGATATTATTTTTTCCAAGGAGTAATACTATAAATCAGTTCTATTTTTCTTACTTGCTGTCATTTCTGAGTGGAAGTGTCTCACTTGTTTGAGTGATGTGCAGGTTTATGCTGCCTTCATGATGACGTGAATCTAGGTTAAACCAAGGTTAGTTACACAGATTCAGGGCCAGGCCCTTCTTGCAAAGCTGTATCCCTGCAGCATGTGGTACCATTTCCTTTTGCCGGACATTCGACACTAGCTTCAACTGTGGGGTTTCTAAGGGTCTCTTCTTTATGATTTAATCTGAATTTGTTAGTGAATCCTGGGCAGAGTTCAAATACTGAGTCCGTCTTCAACCTGTTCACTTCCTCCAGAGATTAATAGATGTAGTTTCAGAAAGAAATCAATGATTTCTTGAGGATATTTCTGCGAATGTACCAGTGACTATGATTTAGTATTTTTAGTATTAGCCACATGGAAAGGGTATGGTATATAGAAAAAGCTTGGGTTTTATGGCCATTCTTTTCTATATAACCTTGTATTTGTGGCTGACTTCCTGTCAATCTGAAGTAACTGAACAGTAAATCAAGTTAATAATAATACATTCTTGCTGAATGGCTTAGGAATAATACATTTAAAAAACTTGGTTCATTGTCAATGAAGAATAGGGAATTATTATAATACTATTACTATTATTTTCTATGATTCTGACAGAAAATAGTGATCAAATTTCCTGATAACAGGGAAAAGGAATCATTTTGGAATCATGTTTCTTGTCCCTTGATCCTCTGATCATATCCTGTAGACATATGTGGGACAACATTCTATGATTTCTGATGTAGTACCTTATTTTTAAGGATGCATATTCTGAAAAGAATAATTATTGTGTTACATGAGGAATATCACATGATCAGGAGAAAAGAGAGCTTTCCCTTTCTCTTGGGTGTACCTAAGCTTGACTAATTTTGTTCTAGAGTATTTTTAGCAAAACATCGTTACACATTTATTTATTAAACTCTTTATTTTTCACTAAGGAACCCTTTTATCATTATGCACATGAACCAGTTGGATTCTATCTGCTCCAGCAGTCCAACAGATGCTGTCTGTCTTTACAGTCCACTTTCACCAATCTGTCTAGTGAAGGAGAGAACTGATGAGGGTTGCGAAGTAGGTTGAGCAATTCCACATGTGGCCCAAGCCTTCAGAGCTGGGAGAAAGGGGGTATCCTTCCTTGCTCTGTATGGTCAGGCTTTGCAGTTTCCCTCATAAGTCAAGTATTTTGATTTGTGTCAGAGGCAATTGGTTGAAGACAGACAGCTTGGCCTTCTCTGAAAGTTTAGGATAGAGTATACAGCTAAGCTGTCAAGATGACTGCCACACCAACAATTTTCAGTGCCATGTGGGAGTGGAGTTGGGAGTATTTCCCCATTTTATCATTCAGATTTGATGCTCCATTTACTTTTCAAGGTCAACAAAGAAGAGCCTCATAGAGCTTTTCAAATGGACTGGTGATATGTTCCATTAGGTGCCAGACAAAGGGCTGCCCAACTTCTCATTTCCGCATTCCTCACTATGGAATCTTAAAGGTGTTCTGCTGATTTTTAAGGAATCATTTATATCTTTGAAGACCATATTGATGTCATGGACCAGGGCATATAGTCTACTCTATTTTTAGATTTGGAAGGCTAGATATTTTTAAAGGATTATAGTGAAATTAAACATTATGTTAGTTGATTTAAAATTTTACTTTAAAAAAATTTTTAAAATTCTTCTTGTGCTTATTCACAGCATAACAAGATCTATAAATAGTTTATTTTATATAATATGAAGGGGGGAGTTGATGTATTTACTCCTAAAACATTAACCTTAAAAATACATAAATCCTAGTATGCAGAACAGATTGTAAGGAATTCATTGAAGGAGTGGAATAATATGCTCAGAATGACTACTGACTTCTGCTCTCCATTGATAATTCTAGCCTGAGGACACTTCCTTATCAATGCCTTACACAGAGATCCTCATTTAATTCCCACTGTACATTTGGATGTGAATATTTCCCTCAGAGTATGTGCAGGTGGGGATGCTGGCCTCAAACCTCATTGTACTCCATGAGGTAATGCTGCGGCTAGATACTAAGTGACACCTGGGGGACATGAGCCCCTGGACCTTACAAGGAGGAGACAAGGCTATTGAATATCCTGTTCCTCCTCCTTCCCCTGGTTTTTAACCTAGAGATGAGCAAATTGGAACTCCTATTATGACTAAATAATATTATAAAGGGAAAATTCTTTACAATGTCTGTTAGCCCCTAAATAAAGGTTTCTTAATTAGTGACAGATTCAGACCTTTTTATAAATTTAAATTAAAAATTTAATTTTATGTGTATGAGTGTTTTGCCTGAATGTATGTAAGTATTCTACATGCATGCAGTACTCATGGAGGTCAGAAGAAGGTGTCAGATCCTGTGGACCTGGAGTTACAGACAGTTGTTAGCTGTTGTGTGGGTGCTGGAAACTGAACCTAGGTCTTCTGTAAGAGCAGCCAGTGCTGTTAATCACAGAGCCATTTCTTCAGCCCCAAGATTTAGACAATTTAATGGTGATTACCATTAAATAAAGTAAATAAAATATCCTATATTATTTTACCCAATTCATGGGAAAATATGTTGAGGTGACATTTCAAAATGGCCCTTTTATGGTTTGTGGGGAGCACACTGTTTGCTCTGTATCTATGGCCTTATAGTCAGTGAAAAGAAGTATAGTTGTAGAAATCATCCCCACTTCTAGTGGATGATCCACTCAAAATATTCTGCCCAACTTCTACTAGATGCCTACTTTGTATGAAGTAATCACATGTCTCATGTAATTTGTGTGAACACCATGGAGAGGAAACATTGTCTAGTACCAACTGAAGGCACTGACATTCAGGGCTTTGAACTAACTTGCTCAAAGTTGCTCAAGATTGTTCTGAAGGGCCAGAAATGACACACAGGACGGCCTTACTTCAGTAGAGAGAATCAGGGTGGCTCAAGGTGGGAAAAGAACATACTTGGCCTTGCAAAACTAGAGATAATTTTTTAAGCAAGGAGTTGTAAAGAGAGGAGGAGAAAAGATGGAGAGAGAAGGGTATCTTGGGGAGACTGAGGACAGAAAAAAGCACATCGTGAAAGAATAAAGTTCATGCTGCTGACAGAGAATGACCCCACCGAGCAGGACAGAGTGTAAGTACAATGTGGGTTCTTCTACCTGCCCCTGATGCAGTTCACTCTTACAAGAGTTGTCCTGAGAGGTGGTTGGTTTCAAGGGCAAGGAAGAAGCTGTGCATGGGGAGCCCTGACTGCAGCAGAGGAGTCAACATATGATATTTTAGGATCTCAGATACGGTTTTAAGAAACTGTAACCACTAGAGCATCAGAATGCTAGAGAAGTACCTAGAAGTTTAGCACAGCTCAGACCTTAATGTGTTCAGTGGAGTTTGAACTGTAACATGGAGCATCACTGAGCATTTTTCAGAGGGAGACATAAGAAAACACTCTGTGTGATACTTCTTGGAAGATTAAACTAGTTTCAGCTTTATAGGCTGAGAAGATTTTTTAAAACAGCTGAAATAAATAGGTTTCTATAAGCTGGGACACTTACACATTGCTAGAGGGAGTGTAAATTGGCGCTTTGATTGCATTAGCCTGGGTTCTTCAGAGAAATAGAATCAATAGGATAAATGTATATATACAGGAAGAGATTTATTGTAAGGAATTGGCTCATGCAGTTGTAGAGACTAGCAAGTCCAAATCTGCAGGGTGGTAAACCTGGTGAGCCAACAGTGCAGAGAAGTCCCAAGCAGCTTGCTGGGAAATCCTTTCTTGCTTGGACAGGGTGTCTTTTTGTTGTATTCATCGTTTGGCCCTTTGATTGATTGGAAGAGATCACTCCTATTATGCAGGAAAATCTTCTTTCTCAAAATCCCTAATCTTATCCAACACATACACACATACACACACACACACACACACACACACACACACACACACACACACGGAGTCACCATCACACCTGTTTTGGAAAATGATATATTTTTAAAAAATTTATTTATGATTTTTATTTTATGTATATATGTGTGTTGCCTGCATGTAGGTAAGTGCACCCATGTCATGCAATGCCCGTGGAGGACAGAAGAGGATGTTGGATACCCTGGAACTGGAGTTATGGACAGTTGTTAGCTGCCATGTGGGTGCTGGGATTTGAGCCCGGGTCTTCTGCAAGAACAGTTAGTGTTCTTAACTGCTGAAACATCTCTCCAGGCCCGGGAAAATGATATATTAAAGAATCATATATGGTACAATACACTAATTCTGCTGTGTTTGACATTTTAGGGATTGCTAATCATGTTTACAGCAACAGTATTTATAAAAGCAAAATGGGGTAAGAGCCCAGGTGCCCATCAAGAGTAGACGAGACAAATACACAGGGATACGTAGTGGACACTCTGCATCCCTGAGAAAGAATAAATTATTGCTATGCTCATCACCAGGCATGAATATCATCAAGAGCATGTTGTGGGGAAGAAATTACAGAAAATGATATAGGGTATGATTCTTGTCCTTTATTACCATGCAAAATAAACAAGACATTATTGAGATGAATAAATAAGACTGTAAGGAGCAAGGTCAGGAAGAGCATAGAATCAGGAAAGGCCACTAAGGTTTCAGTGTTCATCATGATGGTGATTTGGTGATTTTCATATACAGGAGCTTTATTTACATTTCTTTCAAATTTACCAACTGTCTAGTAAAATGGAGAAAAATATTCATTGCAAATTTTGAGCACTTCAAAGATATTTGTCAAAGATAAGCATGAAATCTTCACTCTGATTGGCCTGAAGGTCAAGAAGAGGAAACC